AAATGCAATTGTTAAATGCATTAATATGCGATTGTTTATAAAACGATTTTTGGAAAAATTCTATTATAATTAGCTATCAAATGAATCATTTTGCTTTTTTAAATTTTGAAATTAGTCGTAAAAAGTATCTCTTAAGACTCGTCTGAAAAGTCTGAGAGTTATTTGGCAATGGTAACCGCTTTCAAGTCTTAGAGCTTCAGGAAACAGAAAGTTATAAACTTCAAGTATTTGAAAACAAAGCTGACTTTTAGTGGAGTGTCACGTGAATTAAGTATGTAAATATATTAATAAGAATAAACCGCGGTTTACTGTTTCCAGAACAAAGCTGACTTTTGGTAGATTGAAACATGAATTAAGTATAATAATGTACTAACACTAACATCTCGCGGTTTACTGTTCACTTAAATGTTATCACCAAGGTTTGTTTTCTTTGGCAATTGGAAACATTTAATTGCCATGATTCGTAGAATTGAATTTAAAAAGTATATGAAAACATTTGTTGGAATAATCTTTAAATCAGGATGATCAAAAATAACTTTGGCTGTTCACGTACAGAAAAAAAAAGATCAACATCTGGTAATATCCAATTACACAAATAAAAGCATTAAATTTGCTTAGTTTATCCACTGTGAGTGTTAACAATTATTCTATTTTTTTACTTGAACTTTATATTGGGTAATAAATAAATAAACGGAGGAATAATTTGTTAGTTTCAATAAGGAAACTCCGAAAATATGCATAATCTATTTGATAGAAATATGTTTTAATCCCCACTCCCCCTTTAAATAATAAACTATGGACTTGAGAGAAAACATTCACAAGTATATGTTAATAAAACATAGCTTACATTCAGCAGTCAATACATTAAATAGTTTAGTGATTTGGGTAGAGGGACTTCCATAAAATACGGTTTATCATGTGCACCTTAAGTAAGTGGACTAGTGGATGGTAGAACTGTGTATAACACGGGTGGTGTGCTTTATGAGTCACCTTTTTGAAAATACGTGAATTGTGTTGTTCGGCAAGTTTTGAAAAGTTAGTGCTGCTAAATGTGAAATTTTAGTTACGATTGTCAACATTATGTAAGCTCAGCATGTAGTAGGATCAGCCCAAGTGGCATCTAGTAAGATGGCTGCCTCATCGCCATGGAAACGTCAGCTATAACTCTTCTCACGCGTGTCTCCTTCTGTGTCGACTGTCAAGCGGGCGTTGAACCGCAGAAACATAGTCACCACCCCGACAGATGGAAGTCTTGCGATGGCCGCATCCACAGGCTCATCTCTGTCACCCACTCCTGATCCTGCTCTATAGTTCGCGTGCCATTTCCACTAAGTGGCCATCTGGGAATCTCTCCTTGTTATAGCGAGATAACTGCTAGATACTTAACATTGTATAAAGTTCCTATAGCATCACAAGATAATGTATAGGTTTTGGTAAATTGCACTTTATTACCAACTGTTTAGAATTCTAAGGTGTGGAGTCGAATAATGTTTAATACATAGTTAGACGCCACAAGCAGTCGAGTAAGTTACAAAAGAATTAATTCATTAATCAAAGGCTCCTATGAACAACCTACGCTTCTGACTACTTTGTATGACAGAACAGGTCGAGTGTGGCTTACACTGCATGGCTAACGTGCCGTGTCTTGTCGCGCTGCAGATCGGAAGATCCAAGATTCGAGCCTGGTATATGCTACTGACATACTTCGCACTTTCAGCTGTAAGCGCGTTATATAAATGACTTTAAATCATGCTATTCAGTTAAGAGTGGGCGTGTAGGTGGTGAGTGAAGTTGACAAAATGCTATTCTCTCTCTTGTTAGTAGTTCAAATCCAAGGACAGTTATGTCTGAACCTCGTAGTTTTTATCTAGCCGCTTAGCCCATGTATCGCACTATGTCCCATTCGGGTTGAAAACATGCCATAAGTTCCATAAAATAGTTTGCTAAATATAGAACAGGTGTAAGAGCTTACAGATAAAATTATGGTAAAAATATAAAATCTTACTCGGAACATTTAAAGATCAGCTTTCTACGTGAGTCGAGTAGAAAGTCTAAATGTCATACCAAGTTTCTGCAGCTATCAAACAACGTGAAAAATATAGAGGTACGAAAGACTTGACATAGCTTTTTCGAACTTTTTCCTGATATGTTTTTACAGAACTTAGAAGCTTCATTTACTTCCCAAGATCACGCTGCTATATTACAATCTAAAAGTTTAACCTTACTCAACCGTTCATTCAATCTCAAGAAGATAAGTTTAGCACGTGCTCTTACTTTACTTCATACTCTTTCTGTAATATGTTAAAATGATTTTATGCAAAGATACATATCGTGTCTGACTGTAGTGTAACAGTATTCAATCACGAATATATTAACCCACAAATTGTATGTCAACAATATCTGAAATATAGGTCTGATATAATAGTACAGACACATCCAAAAAGACCACTAATGGAACTGACAACGCGCATATAGAGTGGTTGACATATTATTACTTTCTTCCTTACTTTTAATCATAAGTTCTTATGATATACTGTGACCATAGATCAGTATGACTGAAATATAGTAAAGACCTACCTATCGTAGGTTAACAGCGTCTAGAATACAGTAATTCCACACGTAGAGAAGACAAATATACTGAGATACTGACCTCAAAGTCGTAGACAGTGAAAACTGAGCTGTTAAAAAGTACCATACATTAGCAGTGTAAGGAAATAAACCATTTAGTTCTGACTGTAAACCACTTGCGTGGCATGTGAGAGATTCCAGGTTCAATTCTGAGATATGAACTAGAACTATAATCTACATATCAACATCAACAACGTCTAGAATATAACAGGTTCAGAGGCAAGAAGAATCAAAATGAAAGAATATTTTTTTGAGAGATAACATATGAAATATGTATATAGAAAGAGAAATATTACCAATATTACACGGTGTTGAATACGTTATATTAAAACGAATTCGAATATGCAAATCAGCAAATCACGTGACAAAAACAAACAATATAAGGTTGCCATGGAATGACATTTGTCGAAGCTCTGTATTGACGTTTCGTAGATATTGTTAAACTACCAAAAATTTATAAATTTTGGGAAGGGTATGTAACAGTCCTTTTCCGACGCAAAATATTCCTACACTCAGATCTCAAATACGTATTCAGCTCATGGACTTATAATTTCTAGGATAGGTATATGTCTTTTTCTTAGTGACATTAAAAAAGCAAAGGAATATGAATTAACTTAGAGCACCAGTACCATTCAGAAAGACCAACGAGTCATACCCCTCGTCATGATAGGCAAAGTGCGGCGTCTTCCGATGGGTCAGTGGTTAGTTTAAAGGCTTAAACGCTAAAATCCGGGGTTCGATTCCTCGTACTGTACAAAGTGCAGATAATACATTGTGTAGCTCTGTATTAAGAAAACAGTAGGTGAGAATATGGTTTAAAAATTTGAAAAATTTAGTGTCGTTAATTGTCTTAAACAAAGCAAAAACAAGTCTTAAACGCCAAACCACTTTAAAGTTATTATGTTTATTTGCCAAAGAGTGAATATATATATATATATATATATATTGCTTTAATATTATTGCGTTGTCGATCTTGTTGAAGATAGCTGTAATGGGCCTGTTGTATTTTAAACAATGTTAACAATGGAATGTAATTCTTTAAACCAGTCAAAGAATGTAAAAGCAGCGGTTTGATTGAATAATTAACCAAACACCCTTTGCTAATTTTCGGGGTAAACATAGATGTTCTTATAATCTGGCACCATAGATTTATCATGTCACATAGATATCTTCACATCTACTAATAAGAACTTCTGGGTGAAAGTAAAGAAGAGTGCATAAAAGTCTCTTAACCATTGCCGACGAAGCTTTTCGTAAAATACCATGACTCTTCGGGGCGGCTGGGGTTTGACAGATACAAAAGTGATTGAAACACTATTTATAATAGCAGACTTTTGACAACAGCCATTATAACAATCTTAATTTATAATGTCATATACATATATATATATATATATAACATTATATATATATATATATATGTATATTTAAGCAATCTTAACTAATCATGTTACAAGAATAAATCCGTATATTCTAGGAATCTAAATTAATCATGCCATAAATATATCTCCGTATTTCTAGCAATCTAAACTTATCACGTCACAAATATATTTCTGTATATTCTAGCAACCTTAACTAATCATGTCACAAGTAATATCCGTAACGTTCAAGTAATCTAAGCTTTTCATGCCATACATACATATTTTCGAATTTTTCTAAACATTACCCTTTATATTTCCCATTTTGTTCCGACCTTCTATCTTAACCTGTTACAAGATATAACAGTTTATATCCCAGTACTAGAAATTTACCCTTTTACCGGATCTGTTTTCGTGTATGATGTTCATTGATATTCATTTAGTGACTGCGGTTCAATGTTTTTTTCCACAGTCTTTGTAAAAGTAATTGCTACCAGGAGCATTTTGAAGTCATAACGTTAGTTTAGCTTTGGTTACTTACAATTGTGATTCGGAAAATCGTAGTAGGTAAACGTTGATTTGAGGTATAAAAATATAAACACGCGTCATGTCAGGTGTTCCACTCCGGGATCGTCCACCGATTATCCCACGTTTATCGCTTCAGTATCATAGTATGGACATACGTTATCCTAAGTGTATCATTCCACTAGTAGTTCATGATGTTGAAAAAAATTCGTAGGTTCAAGAAATCAATTTAACACAAAGATACGATACCCTATAACCCGAGCGCTTTTCAGTGGCAAACTATCAATTATAAATTCATATTACCCTAGTTGTGTAGTTTCACTATCAACACACATGATTCTAGATGTACCGTTGCGCTTTCAAAGTATAGACTAAATTTAGTTTAAGTGCGGTATAAGTTGCGGTATAAGCTCAGTTCATATTCGGTATGATCAAAGCAGCTACGCCTTCCTTTAGTACAGCGTGTTACTATTATCCTCCGTCACTTACCTTGAGGTGTAACTTTGCTTGCCTGCAGGAAGTCCGCGTACAGCAAGCCAAGTAGTCGTTCCGCGCGTAGATGCCGCCTTACGGGCTAAAACCTGGCCAAAGAGGGGCAAACAATTGGGTAGTATTGAGTACATTTTCAGTATGATCAGCAAAACAAGAAAGAAATCATCCAAACTGCTGTAAGGCTGCGCCTAAAGTGTACAGTTTTAACAGCGGAGAACTGTACATTTACGAAAGGATGTTTTATTAGCTCGACTCAGAGCACTGAATAAACTGTTAGCAGTATCAGGCAAATAGTCGCTCAAGACTAAAGATTAAGACAACGCGGCTTGCTCATTTCATCCGCACCTAATATTTCAGTACAGAATTTACTAAGAAATGGAGACCATGGCACCAATCTGTTCGTAAAGAGATCCAACCAGACTTAAACCAACAAACAGCCGGAATCCCGAGTTGCTACTGAAGAAACCAAGCAATCACCTTCAAAGTCAAGCGTTTCGAATGGACGGAAAAGAAAAGAATAAAATGAAATTTGGTCGTTAAATTACTGTGCAGTATCAACAGCGAGAAGTGAATTTCGCGTGTTATCAGGCGTGAAAGGAAAAGAAATATTTTTCTTGGCTGACTGAGCCGTCAGGAGAGCAAAGCCCTCCTACCCAGGAGTGATAAGCTGTTTATTTGTCGTGCTTGAAGTAATTTCTAATGAGGAAGCGCTAATCAATGCCACCAAGTTTCTCCCCAGGCTGGGGGTGCTAATCAGTGTTTGGCAGCTTCCCTTCCCAAACAAGAAACCCACAAGACGGCTCAGCAAGTGCTCTAAGATAGATAGGAGAAGTTGCATTCGTAATAAATCTAGCGAGATAGAGAGAGTCTAATCTTACCTCGATAGCAGGCCTACTTCTCCTTATCAGTTCTCTCCCAACTCAAGCAGCCGTCGGGAAAGCAGCTGTAAATCTTGCCAATAGAATGGGCGGGTGAGATACGGACTCAACGTTTTATACGCCACAGGCAAATATAATATGTTTATCAGTATATTTTAATAGCATGATCGACCGGACAGCCATATCACAACCTTGCATCTTGCCAATAATGAGGCTTCCGACATCAGTGAGTGCGCATGATCAGATGTCACGATCGTTTATTAGCAGGCGGTACATGAGTAGAGTTGGTCCAATGAACAAGCGTCCTAGCTTACGTCACTAACAAAAGAAGATGACGGTGTGGCGTCCCACCCTTAGTCCTAATGGCAAGCTGTGTAAAAGTGCTAACCTGTTTATACCTGTAGCTATAAAATGGAACTAACATTTCTTGACGCTGGACAACTCGTGACCTGCAATATGCCTGACCAGATTCTACGATCATTCGACCTGTTCACTAGTACAACAGGAAATAAAATTATAGGGCGACGAACAACCTCCTTGAAAACTGTGTACAACATTGAAGTGGACTAAGTAGGCGTAACTGTGGATTTAAGTTGTCAACTACCAAAGGTCACCTGCTACGTTTTTTTGATAAGATTCTTCTCTAACCAACAACAGATATTACGAATTGCGTTCAACTTTTGTTTATAGTGTACGGTGCAAATAATACTATTTTTAGAAAAGTTGTCAATGCTGTGCAAATAATACTATTTTTAGAAAGTTATCAGTGCTGTGCAAATAATACTATTTTTAGAAAGTTATCAGTGCTGTGCAAATAATACTATTTTTAGAAATGTTCTAAGTGTCGTGCAAATAATACCATTTTTAGAAAAGTTATAAGTGCTGTGCAAATAATACTATTTTTAGCAAAGTTATAAGTGCTCTTACCTTTTGCTATTTTATAAGAAACTACCTAACGAAAATAAGGTGTAAAGAAAGTGGAGTATTTTCACAGTCGAATTCAAATATCCACCAAATCAGTTAAAGAAGGTGGTTTCGACTCATGAACTTTATGTATGTGATTCTTGGATACATTTCACATATTTCATAAAACAATCTATTTGTATTTCGATAGATAATTAGTTTTATTCCATGTATGGAATGTATGGACTTGTTACTGCTATAAGTAATAAAAAAATAGCAAAAATTAAATATGATGGCCAGAAACAATGTAGGGTTATCCCTACATAAAACCATACAGAAATTCCTACATAAGTAGTCAGTAAGTACT